TCATCATCATCATCATCATCATCATCATCATCATCATCATCATCATCATCATCATCATCATCATCATCATCATCATCATCATCATCATCACTAACCAAGATCAAGCGAATCCTTGGTCTGAGCTGGCATTACCATAAACTGTACATGATGTTATATTAAACTTGTGGTTTATGAATCTGAAGGTGAGTGCCTACCTGGGCTATCAGAAGTGCAGGAAGTGGGGACATAAGGATGTGTAGTCACCCTTCAGTCTCGAGAGACTATGGTAACGTGCTCTGAATAGAGGACTTGGAACAGCATCTACTGTGGCTGAAAAGGCCAATTCGACAATGACAATCCCTTTCACACTGAAGACAAATACAATCTGTCCCCTGTCCAGCTCCCTGGTTTTGCTGCTTTCGTGACTGCCTCTTTGCCTTGGCCTGCTGGACAAATGTCTCTTCAAATTGGGAGAGGCCGTGATATACCACCTGCCTCCAGGCTGAATGCTCAGATGTCATGGTTTCCCATCTGTTGAGGTCCATTCCTAAGGCTTTCAAATCCCTCTTGCAGATATAACCTTTTTATTATCACTGTCAGGAGGTGGCACACCATGCTAAGAGATCCTTGCCTGGACTCCTCCCTGTTGTTCTTCTTCTGGCAGGCAAAAGCTTCTATTTGTAAGAAGCATTTCTATTTGTAAGAAACATTTGGCAATTGAGTTAGGTTACTATAAAAGAAAGTTTTAATCTGTACAGCAACTGTTTATTTCCCTTATATATTTTTCATGGTTCTTAAGTGTTTTCTTTTATTGAAGCTCTTTTATATTTCAGCCATTTTTTCTCCATTTTTTTGCTAGCTGCCTTAAGTCCCAATTTTTGGCCCAGTACAAATACAAGAGAAATATTTTTAAAAAATAAAATAAGTTGTTTAAAATATGTATTGGAAGGAAAGCATACACTTCTACACATTGCAAAGCTGCAGAAGGGGTAAAAATTGAATCTGGGCAGAAGCAATATCAAAGAAGCATTTCTGCAGGTCGATTGTGTAACAGTCCTGATGTGAACCATGTGATTGGTTGCACAGCCATTACATGAACAAGAACTGATTGATTGCACAATGCTGTCTGTCTGAGTGTAATGTCTGGCATACTTTCACAGCTGTAGCTTTACATTATGCCATCTTAAATGGAATTTCAGTCTCTGGGCAGAAGCAATATCAAAGAAGCATTTCTGCAGGTCGATTGTGTAACAGTCCTGATGTGAACCATGTGATTGGTTGCACAGCCATTACATGAACAAGAACTGATTGATTGCACAATGCTGTCTGTCTGAGTGTAATGTCTGGCATACTTTCACAGCTGTAGCTTTACATTATGCCATCTTAAATGGAATTTCAGTCATTTGAGTTTGAACAAGAACTGATTGATTGCACAATGCTATCTGAGTATAATGTCTGGCATACTTCCATAGCTGTAGCTTTACATTATGCCAGCTTAAATGGGATTTCAGTTATTTGAGTTAAATTACAATTATTTCCAGGTAAATGTATGTCAGATTTTAACCTTTTGGGACAGAACATGTGGAAATAGTGTTATTTAGGTTGAACATAATCCATAGATTATGTTGATTAGGTTGAACAAAGATTATGTTGATTAGGTTGAACATCACCTCATAGAGGTGAACATAATCCAAATAGAAACTGGGGCTGTGGATAAATATAACAATGCATCTAGAGTAGTGGTTATCAACCTTGAATAATCCAAATGTTCTTGGACTGGAATTCCCAGAAGCTTTCACCAATAGCTGTGTTGGCCACAATTTCTGGAAAGTGCAGTTGAAGAATACCTGGGTTACCCAAGATCAGGAACTACTGATCTACAGCATGGAATTCTAAAAATAGAAACCTCTCAAAACTCTAGATTCCAGAGTTGTACAGGACAGAGTCATGGCAATTAAAGTGGAATCAAGCCTAAGTACAGTGTGTGAGAGGCTGTGTTTTGCTGACAGTTCACAATGATAGTTGGAAGATGGTAGTCCAAGGGACTTTGGTTGGGAGAGAGAGACTTATAATATGCATTTGAATTCCAGAGACAGAGGGCACATTTGCTACATGCATCTCTTCCCAGTGCTCCAGTACTAAAAGGAGAAACCACAACACCTGGTAAAGTTCACCCTTTCATGGTATCTATTAGAGGAGGGTGATCAGGACCTCAGTGTAGAAATCATAAAGTAATGTTCCCCAAAATTACAAGGTAAATGCATGTAAAATGGATTTTGCAAACTGATTCAAATGGATTACCAATCGCAGATGGCTGAGCTACTTGAAACACATTGATTCAGTGGAATAGACTGTTATTGGAATGATGGACACTTGACACAGGCTTTCCTTGTTTTTTTATCTATGAGTTTCTCCAAAAGTGAGGATAAATAAAATAAAATTCCACGCATTAAATATAACATATTATCATGCAATTTTACCTTCTTTCAGCTGTTGGCTACACTATTTAGCTGTTTTCACGATGCCCTCAGGTAGGACAGGAAAAAGATGTATTTTAACAGGCTTTAACTGAAAGACAAATTGGGCAGCAGCAGTTGCTTCTTCACTGTAAAGGATAGGCTCTCATAATTCAGTGCTTTTCCTATAGATTAATTTTTTTTCTGCACATGTGCAGTCAGTTGCTCTACACATAGCTTGGTTTTCCAATGCTTGATGTCCTTGTTTAGATTGTGAATAAACTCTGCCCATGTGCATCAGAGTGCTGACTTTTATTTCAATTTCATCATCAGGCTTAATTATTTCTACTGTATAGTTATGCACCACTTAGTTCTTGCCCCCAGCTCTCTCCATGAAGCTCCTTAAGAGATTTTATGGGGATAATCAGCCAAGTCAGAAGTGGGCAGTCAAGTAAAAGAAAATGGCTGTATAAACAATTTAACATTTCTCAAAAATAGTGTCATCTCAGGCAACCCTCAAACTAATTGGAAATGTTTGGGATGCTTTTAGGTGTGAATCATTTCGTATCTTCCACAAACTCAACAGTGGCTTTGCATGGCTGGGATAACTTACAATAACAGTGTGAAATGTTAGTTCTTACATAAGCCTTCCAACATTCTTTTTTCTTCTGTTCCTTATATCTGAGACATCAACCATTGGAGAGGTCTTTATTTCATATAAGTCAGGAATTTGCACATGTTATGCAGTGAAAAGCCTGGGATTTGCTGGAAAGATTTAAGCTTGGAAGCATTCCTTGCTATTTTGTGACTGGCTGCTACACTGAGACCAAATGATACTGTGGCTGAATTAAGATCTGTGATCTCCTCAGTTGGATGAGACATTGCTCATCTGCAAAGACTGGATGGATAGGGTGCCAGAATGTAGAGCAGAAATATGAACCACCTGTTGCTTACTCCCTGTCTTGTGGAAATAGTAGCTTCCCACTGAAAATGGCAGTATTAGGAACAGCATACACACACTGCATTGATATTTCACAGATACTTAGGTTTTTTGTTAAAACTTGTATCTGTTATATAATACAAGTCAAATGTTTTAATAATTTGGACTGTGCCTGGAGGTTTTTAATAATAATAATAATAATTTATTGTCATTGTAAGTAAACAGCAACAAAATAACAACAGGTTATAAAAAGTAGATATGATATTGGTAAAATTAGTGCACTAGCTATTATGCAAACAAACAAACAAACCCAAAAGAAACAAACAAAAATCCACCTTGTCAGCCTCAAAAACAAACAAACAAAAAACATGGGAAATATCATGTAGAGAATTTGTCACAAAATGATGGTCAAGATCTTGTTGGATTTCCTTATCATATCCACTTTGAACATAACACATCAGCATAGTAGTAATAGGACAAAGAAATGTCTGAATCATTGACATTGCAATTTCAGGGGATGCTACATTATTGACATTGCAATTTCAGGGGATGCTAGATTTAAAGCTAAAAAATTGGAAAAATTAACAAAATACGGAGATCTGGCAATAGAAACATCTTGCTTGTGGATGAAACACACTTCAGTGATACACATTGACATTGGGGCTTTGGGAACAATACCACGGGTTTTCACAGTATTATAAGCAGTTGCAGATTTCAGAAATAACGCTGTCAGAGCTACAAAAAACAACAGTATTATAAACATCATACATACTGTGCTGATATTTAACAGATACATAGGTTTTTGGATAAAACTTGCATCTGTTATATGAGTCAATGTTTTTATAATTTTGATTGACTGTGCTTGGTATTTTTAAATAATAATTATAATAAAATGTTGTCAAGGCAATTCTTACTTATAGTGACCCTTTCTAGATCTTCTAGATTTTCTCAGTGTATAGTACTCAGAAGTTTGCCATTCCTTTCTTCTGGCAGTGCCCTGGGAGTGTGCAGCTTTCCCAAGGCTACACAGGCTGGTTCTTCTCCTGGGACACAGTGGGGAATCAGACTCCCATCTTTTGGCTCCACAGTCAGATAACCAACTCATTGAGCTAACTGACTAAGGTTTCTTCTCTACAGGAGTATATTTCTTACACCAGCCATTTCTAGTCTAGAACAGGGAGGTCCACAGGGATGGGTTTTTCCAGGTGGAGCAGAGCTTTGAGAAGTTACTTTGTGGACTGCAGCTGCCAATATCCCACAGCTATAATTGCTGTCTTGCAAGAGGTACAATTTAAGTGCTGGATTTTGAGAACCTTGATCCCCCCCCCCAAAAAAAGAATTTTTCCAAGCTTTCTTCTAGCTGGAAAAGCCTATCCTCGAGGACAGTACATAAATAGCATAAAAAGGACTAATTGGTACATGTGTTTAGGAGACAAATGGAGAAATGGAAGGTGAGGGGCTAGAAAATGGAAGATGTTTATGCAGCTGTAGTTGAGGGCAGAAAAATCTGAAACCTGTTTGTAGGTTTGAATTGGCATGCAGCTGTCCTTCAGGAGTTGAAGGAACTCAGATTTACCATGAAGAGAAAATATTGTCATGGGAAATGTTAGCAGGGTACAGGCATATCTAGTTCTGATGCCTGTCACATACCTGAGCAGGGAAAAGGAAGAAAGTTTTGTTATTGAAAATGAAAGAAAGAATGAAAAGGGGGCACAACCCTTCAGTCATTACCAAATCACCATTAATCTCTGACCCACATTTTCCATTTCAAATGCTTTGCCTACATCCTTTGGCTTTGCTTGGAATGTTTCCTTCCAGAGTGATCAACTTGATTTAAACACCTTTTAGTTAATCAGCCCATAGGCACACACTGTGATCTGTAAATCACTGGAAATGAATTAGTCTCTGTGTATGGAGGAGCTATTGGATTACTGTATAACCTTAAAGCAGGATGACTGGAATCCTTCATGGTGTCTGAGTGCTTTGCTCTGATCCCAGTTAAGCTCCTGGTTCATGAGTAATCCTAATACGTCTAATTAGATTAATCAGAAACTAAGATTAGCATAGGCTTGCCCTATATGAAGAAATATATAAGGCAGAACCTTTATGCACTGCTGTGCTGGTGTCTGAAACACATGCCTTGATATTTTAAAGAGGGACTTTGTGATGAAATTAAAAGTGTCCACACATCATTAGCAACACTTGCCATCTTTTACTCATGTACAGCAATGAGATATATGTTTATTATTAAGTGGCACTAAAATGTAACCACTAATAATTTTTTCATGTAATTGTGCCAGTATTTATGTTTACATCTAATATGTAACTTATTAGTAACTAATAAGCATTGTGACTAGAAACCTGTTTGGAATGTGGTAGCTTTTGTTAAAGGTTCACCGGGATATCACTGAACTTATCCATGAATGTCCTAAGTGGTGAATACCAGAAATGATAGTCCTGTAAGCGGAACAGTCAGTAGCAGCTTGCAAACTAATGAACCCTTTTCTTCTCCTGAACTTTTGAAGACAAAGACAGGTACTTGTTTGCTGCAGGATGGTAACCAGGAACCTTTCAAAGTGCGGCTGCACTTAGCCAAAGATATTTTGACAATTCAAGAACAAGACGTGATCTGTGTGTCTGGCGAACCTTTTTACTCTGGTGTAAGTATCATTTTCTTCGTCATCACTCTGGAATGGCGATACTCTAGTGCTACTGATAGTATTGTAGTATTTGACTTTTCAGTGTCTGAAGAGGAGAGGTGAATAAATCTGTCCTGGTCTCATTAGAGTTCAATACATTCTACCCCGTATGCATTCTCTATGTATCTCACAGAAGATTATAATAATTTTCCATTATAAAATTATTACATTAATATGGATGTCTCCTAAGGTAACATACTATTTTTAACTTTATATATATAATAGACACTGTTGGCTCAGGTCAGAATCATGGTTTCTCTTAAAATTGTGGAAATGTCCACATTATCACTGGGGCCATGCACAGAGCAGACGGATGGTCTGTGCTCAGGTTTCAGGTTACTCTGCTTGTGGGCAGAATTAGAGCCCAGCATGATTGGGTGTTTTCAATGCCCCAGCACTTTCAAAATGACCACATTTGACTGGCATAACCTATCTACACACATTGGTGTTGGAAGCCTTTATTTTTCATGCCAAGATGCACACTGGAGTTACCACTATCATAAAAACTGCCATAGATCATGACAGAGTTTGTGTATGTGTTGAATAAGCTTCAGTAGTTGGGTCAGATTAGTGGGGAGTTACATAGATATTTCTTTTAACTGAGTTCTGATTAAACCTTAAGCAAAAGCTCTGAAGTCCAATGGATTCCTGTTACAATTTGTGAATTTCAGTACCACACCAACATTCAGAATTTAAGCTTTAGGCATACTGTTGTGTCGTGCACTGCTTGTTTCATGATATGATTTTTGCTAATGACCATAAATGATATGGTCTCCACTAAAAATTTAACTACATTGATAATAGATATCACTACAATAATGGGGTAAGATTTACATTCTCCAAAAGAACTTGTGAAAAGTACTCATTTCCAATAACACAGAGAGCAGGGCACTGAGAAGTAATTACTGGTGCTATCTTGGTGTTATTTTCAACAGATGATTCAGTCTGGCATTCTGCATATTTATTTATAAAGAAGAAGAATTGTATAGCAGCATTTATATTTAGCAACTCACACTGGCACTTCTTTTATTTAATGGTATGTGCTTTGTCTTCACATTGTTGTGGTGATGCTGCAGCTATAATTTGTCACTTTACAATTAGAAAAACAAAAATAGCTGCTTCTCTTCACCTCAAAACAAATGATAGGATTCAAAATGCCATTGTGGAAACAAAGTGCCAAGAGAAATAACAGCCAGTTCTTCTTGCAATAGCTCAGGAAATATTTAAACTACATTCAAGCTAAACCTGGTTTACCTTTTCAGGAAAGAACTGTAACTATTAGAAGACAAACTGTAGGAGGATTTGGATTAAGTATAAAGGTAGTGTACTTTTTTCCTATATGTGCCATACATTGTGTTAAAAATGTATTTTATCTAGTAGAAAATACCTTTAAATCATGTCAGAAAGTGCTTGATTAAATGTTTTATTGCAGTGTCAATGAGTCCTGATGGGTTTCATTAAGGGTTTGTTTGTAATAGGCAATCAACACAAGCTTTCCCTCAACTTCATAGTTAATGGTGGAACAAGCAGACACCGTATCCCATTAAGATTCAGTTTGTACTTATAAACCATGATATATACATATAGAAGACATTCAACTGCACTCTCTGTTGTTTTGTAGATTGAAGCTTTAATTTTAAGTGCTTATTAATGAATGCTAAATTATGGTGCCAGGGACATAGTGTCACCAATGAATTCATTTACAATTCTGCATTAATTTTGCAGTTGTTATTGATAAGACTGAAAATGTTATTGCTTTCTGCATGTAGAAATATCAACCCATAAGAATTGTCTCTATATGTCTTTAAAAAGCTTAGGGGACATAGGAAGGAAGGAAGGAAGGAAGGAAGGAAGGAAGGAAGGAAGGAAGAACAGTGAATGTAATTCTTTTTTTCTGCAGCACTGCATAAAGCAGTGAACATCACTTTTTCCTTTTCTTTTTTCCTAAACAAAGACATATATCATTATGCAATAGCACTAATCTCAGGTTTACTGTCAATGGATGCAAAATAGCAATCATGTATGTCCCCCCCCCAAAAAAAAATAACCTCATAATGTGTGTTTTAAGGCAATGGTCCCCAACCTCAGGCCTCCAGATGTTCTTGGACTATAACTCCCAGAAGCCTTCACCACCACCTCTGCTGGCCAGGATTTCTGGGACTGGAAGTCCAAGAACATGTGGAGGCCCAAGGTCGGGGACCACTGTTTTAGGGAATGCATGACCATGCCAATCTCACTGTAGTGAGTTGCACTAGAGTAGACCCATAGAATTCATGGAGATTTGGTGAGTCAATTTCTCCATAATTTCCTTTTATTGAAATAGGCCTATTTTAGTTTTAACTCGCTATGCTAAAGAAAAGTCACAAGTAGAGGAGGTGGTGGCTCTTATGGAGGAGCTGATTCACCAAATCCCCACTGATTCAATAAACCTACAATAATGTGACTTACTATGTTAAGCGATAGGATTTCAGCCATTGTCAGTGATTAGGAAATTAGGTTTTCCAATTTCCCAAGCCTGAATAGTGAAATAACATGTCAATAGATTTTCTTCAGAATGACAATACTTCTTCCACTGTCCAGCCCTCTTCAGCTGTCCCAGACTACACTACAAGCTGTCCCTGACAATGTTTTAGCCTCTGGACCATGTTTTCAAGGCACATGGGAAGGCTGTGATGGGGAGATCCCCTCCTCCTGTGATGGGGGGTTCCCCTTCTCTGCAGGGTACTGCAGGGCAACTGTTTCCTCCCCAGAAACAGTTCCTTTAGTGGAATAATTTAGTGGAATAATTCTGCAATTTAATGCCTCTGGTTCTAAGAATTGGTGTAATTTTTCTGTCTTCCTCCTACTAAAATTAGCTAATGCACTGTGACTAAAATCTCATAAGAATGAATGTACACATAAACAGGATGATCTGTTCGTATGCTACTATGTGTTAACAGCAATTACATGTGGATGAAAACTAAAACATAAAATTGAGTTATGTATCAAACCAAAGCATTTTAAACTTTGAAAATGGGCAATGTGGCATATGAGATTGCTAGCGAAAGCTCAAAAATATTAGGCTTTGGACAATTATCTAGTGTTTGTTGGCTTGCTTGGGTTTCCAGCAGAGTTTGTAAGCAGTGGGAAATAGTTTGGACAAAACCCAAAAATCGTATTTACTTGTCATACATTTACTGTTATTCTGTCCATATCAAATGTCTTGCGGAATACTCTGTTGGGATACTGAACCATCCTTATTAACTAAAATGAACAATAATCGGATACAGTGACAACCAGATGGAGAGGATCAGAAGAAATTTACATGAGCGGTGAGAATGAGTGACCATCTTCCAGTCCATCAACATATGCCAGACCATAGATGAATTTGAAAAATATTATTTCAAAAATGCCTCATCCTAGTAGGATGAAATTGATATTTACCAAATCATAAAATATCACTGCCCTGTTATAAAAATCAGTGTTGCATTTTTTCCTTGCTTCCTGAGACCTTATCTGAACTTCTCTGATTCCTTTTTTTTACAGAAATATGTAAAAGTGCTGGTTTCACCTTGGCCCAAATTCACTAGTTTTAGGGATCCCAGATCTCTTCATAGATGTTCCCAGTTCTTTGACTCTCAATTCACAAACTTCGAACTTCACAAACTCTTGAGTTACTTAGTCAACTTTGAATCTTTCCTGTTAGCCTTTTCAGTGTCTAGTTAATAAATCTAAGTGCCCATATATTTGTCTCCAATATTGCTTTTTTGATCTTCCAACTTGTCTGTTAGTCTGAGCTTCAACCATTTTCTCATTTTAACAGATCTATATGCTTGTGATCCCAAAAGTAGAATATTTGTTTGTGAATGAAAAGTGCTTTTATCGCCATTTTACATTCAATCAAATAGCATTTTTCCTCCAAACATACCACTTACAGTATTTCACTAAATCGGTCAAACTGGTTCACCTTAGAAGCTGGTAGTCTCAAGCATAGTCTGCAGGCAAATCCTATTGGAAAAGTTGCAAAATACCTGCTTAGCCATATGAGGTTGACTGTGGAACTGATCATGTTTTAGACCATTCAGGCAATGTTTTTCCTGCATCTATAGAAACTGAAAAAGCTAACAAACATTGGAGTGAGGATGTGTTGTCTGGATCTACCCCAAATTCCTTTTTTATGTATCTTTCTTAAGAGGTCTCTGTGTGGTATCCCTTGGTGTGTGTTTTCTTAACACCATCCATGATGGTAACATATAGTGATGATGCAGTGTGCAGCAATGTTATAGTACAAACCACTGACAGATGTACTTGGTGCAGTAAGGATCAAATCCAAACTGATGCTGTAGCCATGTGAACTGAAAACAGTGCAACGTTAATGTAGAAACAGAGGGGGGAAAGTCTAGAATTGACCTGTTTCTGAGGCAAACTGGTTATAGAATGAGAAAAGTCTCTTTAAGGCAAGAAATACTGTATAAGTTCTTTGTTTTAAAAAGTGGCAATTGTAGCCTATTTTGTTTTCCATTCATTTTGTCCATCATGCAGGACCTTTTCAATCCTGGACTGATTAGGAAACTTTGTTCCAGATTCCTATTCATTTCCTTTCTGATTTTTGTGCATTTAAGAATAGGGAAAAGAGAAGCAAAAGAAAGGAAACCTTCACGTTTTCTTTAATGCCCAAATAGCTTGTTTTCTGTTGCATGCTTTTATGTATCTCTTCCTTGTCAGAGTGACAAGAAAATGATCTCAGCATGGCCACATTTTCAGAACTGTGCCCATTTTCCTTCCTCAACAGGGGGCTTGGTACTGTAATCTGTGGTGAATAAGGGGAACCTGCAGTGTGTTCGCAGTTTTGCTTTCTTTGTCAACAACTTCTCATTGTTCTGTTGAAACCCTGTTGTCCTAAGGCTGCCATTGTGCTCCTGTCTCCCAAGCTATAGAGTTGATTGTGTTCATAGCCTTAGTACTGAAAGGAATGGTAAAACAGTTTTCCCCTTGGAATAATACAGAGTTAAAACTGGAGTAAAAACTTTAAAGAAATATAATAATACTTTTAAGTTGACAACATGTTTGATAAAATCCATTTTCACCTCATAGGGAGGAGCAGAACATAATATTCCAGTGGTGGTTTCCAAAATTTCCAAAGAGCAACGAGGTAGGTCCCAATGCCAGCTGTTTTCTCAACAATTAAAATATCGTATCTCAAGGTTTATCTGTTTCTCTTGGAGTGACTTCCCAACCCCATTTGAAATTGGTGTACATAAAACATAACTATGGAATATTACAAGAGTTTCCCTCACATCCTCTTCTTCTTTCATACCATGTCTCTTAAACTGTAAGCCTAGTGGTAGAGAATATGTTTTTAAAAGCCTAGTCTAAGGCTGCCCAAGCAGATTTCTTGGCATCAGGGTAAAAAGGATTTAAACAAATTTTTAATATGGACTTTCCTTTGTTAACTTAGTCTCATATGATTAAAAACTTTTCTAAATAGAGTGTTGGTATTTCTGCTCAACAGAACAGATTATTCCTGTCCATCCTCAGGACTAATAAACTTTCCCCAAGTGAATGAATGCTTGTGACTTCATGGAGCTGCATATGTGCAGGGGCTCTGTGAAGTCAGAATAGTATAGTGGATCAAGTAAGAATCTTACAAAGTTGAAGTTGAAAACTTAACTTTTGCCAAGGGGAGGGACACTCATAAAATTTTTGTTTTGACTAGAGCTTTTTAACATGGTGCTTGAAACAGTTCCCCTTTTGTATTCACGAAGGCTTTCACGGCCAGGATCTAATGGTTGTTGTGTGTTTTTTGGGCTCTTTGGATGTGTTCTGAAGGTTGTTCTTCCTAACGTTTGGTTTTTCCTAAGCCAGCTACAGAGACTGGTGAAACATTAGGAAGAACAATCTCCCAGACAAATCTGTGGATCAGATCATAATTTGCCACCAGAATGTATGCTTCTCTGTATATTTTGATTCAGTTTTCAATTCTGAAAAAGTGTCAAAACCTCTTTAAAAGCCATATCTTGAGAGACAATGCATCTAGAAATGTGTTTTGGAGAGAACATGCATTCAGAAATTCACATGTAAATCCTAATTTCAATGAGTTTTTTTAAAACAGTAGATTAATATAGAAACTGGATGGAAAATGGCACAGACAAGATGGAAGGTAGTCTTCTCAGGTCACTCTTTGAATCCACCATATACATGAATGTCAGCACTATACTTAAAAGTAGAGCTATAGTCTGTATGGTCAGATTATTAATTATTCTTTAATTGATCATCAAGATTAGAGGTTCAAGATTGGAAATACACTCCATGAAGAGCAAGTAATGTTTCCCTATGCACTTTGTCAGTATTTTCTGAGAATATAAATATGGGGGAACATACAAGAAGTTTGTCTCTTTCTGTTTTTCACTGTTTAATTCATACTTTGGTTGTGTAATTCGTTCCTTGCTTGTGCTACCAAAGGATTTTTTAAAAGAAAATATTAAAATTAAAAACTTGTTTTCTCTTTGTCCCTCCATATCTCTCCCCCCCCCCGGTCCCTCAGCGGAACTCTCAGGCTTGCTTTTCATAGGGGACGCAATTCTACAGGTACATAAAACCCTTTTCCTTGGTCAGAAATTATTCCTAGTAGTAATAAAAAGCCTAACCTCTGTGATAATTTTTTGCGTGATGATGATGACAATAATGATTACTGCTACAACTGTTTTTTTTTCCTTAACAGATTAATGGAATTAATGTAAGAAAATGCAGGCATGAAGAAGTGGTGAGCTTATACTCCCTTTTTCTAAAGCATTCTGGTCTCTTATGCCTATCGACATAGATTCACATCTAGTGCAATGTTCATCATTATGCCCTGTAAGTGAATATGTGTTTTTCTCTGCAGTTGCTAAGTGGTGCATTTTCTATATATCATCTTGTCCCTGGATTACACTTAGTGACTTCAGTCATGTTGTTGAAGTGAGCATTTTACTGTGCTATCAGTAGTTCTTTCAAATAAATAGAGCCCCTATGTCTGTTAATCACGTTCAGGGCTGCCAGATGTACACAGGACAAAGTCATGCTGCTCTTTTTTCTACCAAATACTGAGGATCTACATCAATGGATGGGGAATGTGTGGTCCTCCAGATGCTGCTGGACTGCAGTGTCCATCTGTGCTAGGCAACTGAATTTATTGTGAGCCTCATGGCACAGCAGTTAAACTGCAGTATTGTAGCCCAAATTCTGCTCACAACCCAGGTTCAATCCCAGGTAGTCAGCTTGAGGTTCAGTGAGCCTTCAATCCTTCCAAGATCAGTAAATTGAGTACCTAGCTTGCCGGTGGAGCAAAGTGCACCCTTCATAATTAAATTGTGAACCACCCAGAGAGTGCTTTGAGCACAATGGGATAGTATATAAGAAGCATACTTATATACATCTATAGGGATAGTATATAAGCAGCACACTTTATGAAGCTTGTATATACCATCCTACATCTCCATGTTAGAGTTTTCCAGAGAAGTAACATGTCAATAGGGCTTGAAATCATTTCTTATTTATTTATTTATTTATTTATTGGACTTATATACCGCCCCATACTGCTACAAGCACTCTCCGGGCGGTTTACAATTTCATTATACAGGCTACACATTGCCCCCCCAGCAAGCTGGGTACTCATTTTACCGACCTCGGAAGGATGGAAGGCTGAGTCAACCTTGAGCCGGCTACCTGGGATTTGAACCCCAGGTCGTGAGCACAGTTTTAGCTGCAGTACAGCATTTTAACCACTGCGCCACGAGGCTCTTATTCTTGTCAAATGTGTTTGCAAATCGCTCCTGGTAGGCAGGCAGTTTTTCACGGTGGGGTCTGAGCAGGAGCTTTTTTGTCTTTTCTCCCACAACTTGTGGTTAAAATAAACTGTTTCTTGTGTAGGGCAGTTGTTATGTGTTGTTGGCAAAACTATGTATCAGATGCAAAGCTATCTATGGCTTCCTAATAAATGTCTTTTGGCTTCATAATATATGGTGGTATATGATGTTTGGGAAATAATTACATTGCTTTTCTAACCCTATTATCGGGAATTGTGCTTCTAGTTTTTCCCCCCTTTTTAAATGGATGGTTCATCAACATATAAATTGTGGTTTGTCTGCAAAAAAAAAAAAGAGGAATCTTTCTCTGGGTGGTTTTTATAGTTATTTTATTTTAAAATTGAGGTTAAGATTTTTATTGACAGTATAATCAAACCTTGGGACTTTAACTGTGATGAGATTAGTTGCTAATTTAATGCACAAAATCTTTTGGTGATTGCAAAATGAAGCATTCAGGTTTTTTTAAAATGGTGCATCTGTGACAGAACTGCTATACTGCCATGATGCTATGCCATTGTTTTGTGTTCATTGCCAATCATGCAAGTTGTAAAACACAAGTTGCATAATGCTAATTTGCTTGTCAGCATGATTATGCTTTCTAGGATTAATATTTTCTTTTAGTTTTTATTTGTACATTCAGCCACCCTTGCATTTTTCCCACCGGGAGAACACTTGAATCTGTATTTAACAGATGCAAAGTACATGCTGTTTTGAAAATGTTTCAGGCCATATCTGGAAACTTTTAGAGATTACCCTGGCCATGGTAATCATCACAACCAACCAGATAAAAATAAGTGTGCATGACTCCAGAATGATTGCATTGTGGAACTTTTTTTAGAGACTGGGATGAAATGATTTGAACATAACCAGCATGATGGGGTTGAAGCAACATAACAGTCCTAAAAAAGGCATTAAGATGCAGTGTTTACTAGATCCTGACAACTATTGCTCTCTTTTCCTTTCATAGTTGCTCCGTCTCCCCAGAGTTTCACATCTACACACTAATGCTGTTCTTTTGTGCCTGTTCCAAGATTTTCAACAGTTTCCTACCTGACATGTGTATTTTTCTAATGAATTCTTTGATAGTGATTTCCAGGGCCCAGCTATGTTAGTTTTTGGCAGCAAAACCCAACAAGGTGTCTTTGGGCACTTGAGGAATGACTGAAGTTTTATTAGGTATTAACCTTTGTGGTCTGAGGACTAATTCTTTAGAATTTGTCTACAACCCACTAAAAGATATGCCACAATGCTCTTTGTTGTTATTCTTAATGATGACTGTTCACCCCCAAATAAAGCTCCCTTCTTGCCTCTTGAGAGCAATGGTTGATGGTCCTTTGGCTAAGTGTAAAATGAGGTAATTTGCTCAGCGTTCCTCCCTCCCTATGATTCATTAAGAGTGGCACTGGATTCTTGCAGTACCTTGAGATCATAGCATCTTCTTCCAGCTGATATCATGGAAGATTAATTCTTATCATCTCCACTTGTTAGTATTTTCACCTGGGGATTACAGACATTTTATTTCAACCCACATGATTCCAGTTGGATGATGATATTCAGATGTCAGTGTATAATGCAAGATTCCCCCCCCCCAGTACCCTCTAAAAATCGGAGGTGAAGGAGGAAAATCTTAAGATGGTCTCCACTGTTCAAGAACATCCCATGACCAGAACAATCACCAACAGAGCGTGTTGTGCATCCTGAGGTAATCGTTTCTGCCCAGGACACTAATATGTTTATATTCAAATAGAATTGAGGGGGCTCTATCCAACTACTATGGTTTTGTTCAAATGAAACAAATGTGGTGTTGCTGCTTTCATTTTTTGTCAGCCCACCATGAGTCCTTACCAACCATTACTGCTGCAGCCCCTTTCCTGTAGTCTCAGAACTGAGATGCTCCTGTGAGCATCATGAGACCATCTCGCCTCTCTGAGTGTCTCGGGCTGTTCTGAGAGGTAGGTTCTGGGCTATCTGGCTGTAATAATCTCTTTCTAAGGTAAGGCGGACAAAATACAGGCCATAGGGGTCACCAGCCCCTCACGGCCTGCAACATTCACTCACATTCACTGATTTATGCATGCATGCATGCATCAATTCAATTTATTCAGAACATCCCATTGGGCCCTCTAGGGGAATGGGGTGTGTGTGTCATATCTTTCTTATAGCATTCCTGTCCCCAATAAAATGTATTTTTTTTAAAATTTGTTCATTAGCATGTTTAATAAAAAGGCTCCAAAATATGAGAAAATATTTTGGGGAAGGCATGAGAGTAGATATAGGACTTCAGCATACTGGGATGGTTGTGTATAGCTCTCAAGACCTCTGGAAGTTGACTGCCCCTTTTTTCGGGGAGAAAGAACATTTATCTCAAGAAGTGTGCCAGAGCAATGCCATTCATTAATTCAAAGAAAAGCATATGGAAGGAGAATAAACTAATTAAAGATCTGCTGCTTTTGTGACAATATTGATATGAACAAAGAGAAGTCTTTACATCCTTTCTGTCTTAATTTTCCAAACCAAGAGAGCTTTGACCCATATCTAATTAGTGTATGTTGTATGAAATGTGTTGCATACAAGTACAAGCTGTTGTACTGAATGCTTCACAGAATACAAACTTGTCCCAAGTCTTTTAACCTGGTGGCAATATGAAAGTATATATTATTTTTAATGAGCTCCAGAGTAAAGGTGCTTTTTTAAAACAAAGAAACAAAAAAAAACTTCTTTCTAATGCTTTGCAACTTACTGAAATAATTTAAATTGGCACTAGAAGGGAGAGAATATTGTCTTAGGCAAACTGGGAATACGTTCCCTTCCACTTGTGCCTCGGGAAAATCATCTTTTTTCAAAGCCCTCCCTCAAGGAAGTCTTTGAACAAGAGTGAATTTCCCATGGCACAAGTCTGGATTCTGTATTTAGCATACAAATAGTCTGTGAAGTCAAGTGAAGACAGTTTACATTAACTACAATAATTCTTGCTGTACCTAAATGACATAGGAGATGTCAACTGCTGGATAGGCATTTGGCTAAGTTCGATTCCCTTCTGTGCCTCCTTGGCGGGAGCTGGACTTGATCCAAAGCCTCAGCATGAGAAGTGGGGCATCTTCGCCAAGAAGGGGAAGCCAAACACACACACACACACACATGGACTCCACCCAACCTGAGCACCCTGTTTCAGGTACTCACCAAGGAGAGCAGTGGCAGGCAAGGCAACCGGGGAGGCCTGACCCCTCCGTTGAGGATCTCAAGAATCACCAGAGAAAGGACTGGCCAGTGCACCAGTTCTTACAGGCTTTACCCTGTAACAGCCCCTTTCAGCTCTGCAGTGCTAAGATTATAAGAGAAGGGGCCAGACTTCTTGTCACTTTTGGTGGTACTCATTATGCACATTAACCTTTTAACCAAATTTTGTAATAACTGATGAAACAATTAAATTGTTTATAAATCATCTACAACTGACCAAAATAGAAGATGAAATTAGAGCAACATATGAAATGCAAGAATATTCCAGTGTGGCCTCCAATTAAAATAAATATAAAAATTCTCTCCCTACCTTCATAAAGGCATTTAGTGGAACTTAATACAGTATGTCTACCTTTCTCTAAACAAAGTGTGGGCAGCGCTGTAGCCTGTAAATGAGGAATGGCCTAGTGGAGTGAATGGCATTTATCTAATTTGATAGTGATGGCTCTCTTTTGTATTGCTGAGTACACATTTATTTTCTCAAGAGTCATCTGTCTTGCTTATGAAAGTTAGGCCAAATGGTGATAGGTTGGAAAGTAATTGATGATCTTTTCTCACTGTATGGAATCATTTTATGTCAGCAGTGACTGTAAAGTCTTTGACTAGTACTCTTCGAAGTCTGACATGAAAAAGGAGAGCTATAATTACCAAGTGGAGGGTTTCTTTAAAAAATGTCAGCAAC